AATGAAGACCTATGAAACGTCCGTTCGCTTTAGGCACATTGTCTATACACATCCACACCTGCACTCATCCACATCCACACCCACACCCATCCACATCCACAACCACCCACACCCACACCCCATCAGCAAGATTTTGTGCTCCGAAATCTCCAATTTGATTTCCCGTGAGATGTAGTGCACTAAGAGTCTGTGTGAAAAAGTGCACATGAGGATATGAGAGAGGGGATGTGGGTGTGGGTGTGAGTGTTGGGTGTTGCAGTGTGTAGGTGGGTGGGTGGGTGGGTGCAGGGTATGGAAGTAGACGAGACTCACACCCACTCACACCCATCCACGTCTGCACGACGCACTATTGCAGTTGGGCCGTTACTGCTTGCTATTATTGACAAAAAAAGTTGCTGGATGATTGTAGGCATTGCTTTCGTTCTTCTAGTTGCACTCGAACGTTGAAAAGCGTGGGGAAGGCGAGACGACGATTTTTTTTTCATTTGTTTATACTACGCGAATAAGCAAAAAACGTATCTTAAACTGCATTTTCATTACGCGAGTGAGCTATTGATCGAATACATAGCGCTCGATAACGACGTTAGTTTGATAAATATGGCAAACGTGATGCTGCCTGCACAAAAACTGACCGTTTCCCGTTACACGGACTTGTGTGATTAACCTGTTGGGCGCCTTCTTGCACCCATTACAGGCTATCAAGACACGCCTCTTGTCTCACTCGAGGAAGCACTGCAACCGGTCTCTCATTTTTTTGACTGTATTGAGGGATATGCGTGGATCGCCAAAGAAAATTGCAAAAACTCAGCGGACGGTCTTGCTCAAGACGAGTCGGCTTCGATCCATCTATATACAATGCAGTTCAGCTCAGACTCTTCTTTCTATCGTGTCCTCAATACGGCACTACGGACCGAAGATCGTCATGAATTAAAGCCGTGGTTTCCCTTTCTGAAGCTGTTTCTTCCAGCACTGCGCAAACTTCCGTCTCGGGCTCACGAGGGAACCGATACAACTGATAAATCGCTTTTGAGTTCCGACTCTGTGGATAAGATAGACCTCCGTGAGGTATGAGAAACCCTGAAAGGACAAGTGCCCATAGGCCTTCTGTCCAGAGTTCTAGGCATTTTATTGGAATTTTAGCCTATGACATGGTGCATACCAATAAATCGAATGACGGTATTTCGAGCTGATATTTTGCTCACAGAGGGGCCTATTTGTGAGTAGAATGTCCTGAAAATTTCAGTTCAAAAGAGTGTTTCCTTCCCAAGATATTAAAGTTCCAAAAAGTAGGAAATTCTAGCGACTTTGTGGGATATGCGCGATTTTTGAGGCTGCAATATCTCGGGAGAAAAATGTTCTTTTGAGCTGAAATTTTTAGGATATACTACTAACAAATAGACCCCTCTGTGGGCAAAATCTCAGCTCGAAATACCGTCATTCGATTTATTGGTATATACCGTGTCATAGGCTAAAATTCCAATAAAATGCCTAGAACTCTGGACAGAAGGCCTATGGGCACTTGTCCTTTCAGGGTTTCTCATACCTCACGAGGGTCTATCTTATGCACAGAGTCTGAACTCAAAAGCGATTTATCAGTTGCATCAGTCCCCTCGTCAGACCGTATGGCGTGGAGTGCGCGACGTTGATTTAAGCCCACAATATCCCAGCGACAGAAAATTTGCTTGGTGGAGTGTGAGCTCATGCACAACCGCTGTTGAAGTCCTTTAGAGTGATAATTTTTTAGGAAGTAAGGGCATGCGAACTTTGTTCTCAATTGAATGTCAAAATGGAAAATCGATCGTGGCTCATTCGTATTTCAAGGACACTGAAAAAGAAGTTATCTTGTTATCCGGATCTTACTTCGAAGTGATTAGTCAATTTAAACCAGCAAAGGATTTGCATATTATACATTTAAAAGAAATACAGCCACCGTTTCCACTTATCAAACCACATTTGCCAAAGTATCAATGCCTCTACTCACAGCAGCTGTTTCAGGTAATGCAACAGCCAATACTTAAAATTCATTCTATCTAGTGTTACATGTGTAACTATTTGTGCTATAAAGTCAAAAAGTTCAAAAAGATAGTCCCATGGTACACTGTAAAAAATAGGCGTAGAATAATAAACCCTTCAAAAGAGTTTATTAACCTCGTAAACGCTTTCATATATCCTTTTCCTTCATAAACCCTACCCAGGTCCAAAAATCCGACGACGGATCCTATCGGATCTGACCAGACCCGAAAACCGACAAAAATCCGATCGGAATCCGGGTTACAGAATTCCGATCGGATCTTACAATCGGATACTCATACGTTTCCGATAATTTCCGATTGTTGAAATCCCCATTTATTCCGACTGTCGGATTCCGATCGTATTTCTATAGGATTCTATCAATCTTTGAATCTATGATCGATCTTATGTATTATGATAATGTTTGGAATCTAAATTTTACCGTAGGTGTGCCGGAAGGGTCGTTTGAAGTGAGCCAAAGTTGGCGTGAGCCAAAGTGGAATCCATTAGTCCATACTATACCCACTGTAAATATATAGTACTCTAGCACCGGAAGTATCTTTCCCACAACAGAACAATACTACTCACAACTCAAAAGTGCTATTCCCAAAACAGAACAAAAGTATTTTCTACCCGGGAGTATCATTCCCATAACAGAACAAAGGTACTCACTACCCGGAAATGCTATTACCAAAACACAACAATGATACTTACAACCCGGAAGTACTATTTCCAAAACAGAACAAAGGTACTCACTACCCGGAAGTGTCATTCCCATAACAGAACAAAAACACTTCCGGGTAGTGAGTACTTTTGTTCTGTTATGGAAATGACACTTCCGGGTAGTGAGTACCTTTGTTCTGTTTTGGGAATAGTACTTCTCGGTCGTAAGTATCATTGTTCTGTTTTGGGAAAATGATTGGATGACGGTAAAGTAACGGCTCGCATTTTGATTGATCCATTTTCCCTATATGAAGTGAACCACAATTTTCTGGTAAGCACGTTTGGCTCACTTCACACGACCGCCCAAACATGACTGGGTGTAGTCCTTATAATAAGTAAAAAACGTCCTCCTAAAATCTGATTGGTCGATTTTACTGGCCAATCAGATTGGGAGATTCTAGTTCTCAGCGATAGATAAGGAGGGGCCCCATACATATACTCCTCATTCGATAGAGCGTCCTCGATAACCATAGGATCGGCCCGAACATGACTAGGTGTTGTCCTTATAATAAGCAAGAAAAGTCCTCCTGAAATCTGGATCCGGCCGGATCTGCAGGCCGGAAACATCGTCCTGGGATGATTTTGTGTATTGAAGATTGATATTTTGCATTTGCGTACATTATTTATTGTGTGTTCAGATGTTTTGATGGTCTTGAATATGGTATTTGATGGGTTATCAACAGTGGGAACCGATCGGATTGCGTTACTCAGGTTAATGTTGGTTGCCGAAAGTGGTTTCCGATCGGTTCCTTTCCGATAGCTTCCAATCGGATGTCGACAGTAGGATCCGAAAGGATTTTCCAATACCAGGGTTTCCGTCACATTTCCGTGACCGGTTTTCCGAGAAAATCCGATAGGATCCGGCCGAATTTCGTAGGGATCCGATAGGATCCGAGACGGAACCTATCGGATCCTACTGTCAGATTGGTCGACCTGGGTAGTATTGGTTGTTCTGTTTGGAACAAGATTAATGTTAATATGGAAGTAAGAAAACTCACACCTTGTTAAAATTCGGAAAGATTGAAATGATCTCAATCATGTAAAAATTTTTCATTATTTCAAATTATTTTCAATAATACTCGGTTCTCTTTATTCGTACAAACAATTCTATTGTGTACTGCACATGAATATATATGTGCATACTTTCATAAGAATAATAGCTTTTCTACTTGAAAAATTTTGCGGACACATCAGTAGAAATTCAACTATTTTCTAAATCTTGTTGTCAATGAAGTCATATGCAATGTCTCAAACACTAAAGAAATCAAAAAATAATAGTAAAAATAATAATATATATGTTAGTAGTTTCGACTTGTATTCGTTGAAAAAACACTTTACAAAAAGGTATCTACCAAATACTTAAGGAGAAAAACATTTATATGTAGATTATATCTATATAGATAGCTTGCGCGTTAACATAACTTACAAAAGGTGATATTTTTCGATCAAGTCGTGAGTTATAATATCAATTAATATTTGACGATTTGTATGATGTGGGGCAAACTTATGTAATGCGCCTGTTTCTATATCTTGAAGCAGAGAATTTGGTAATGTTGGAATTATATATTCGTCGGGAAAAAATAAGTTCATTTCTTGTTTCACTAGTACTTCGCTTAATACATGATCGCTTGTATTATCATTCGTGGAAGAATTAATTGGTAATTCAACAGGAGATGAACACGGATTAAAATTTGTTGAATTAACTGATAATAAATCAATACTTGAAATTGAATTATTATCATTGGCTGTAAATAATTTTTCACGTTTCTCTAAAAACAATAATTGTTGTTTTAACTTTGGAAATAGCGTTGTTATTTTTTCGATGCTGTCCATCATTTCAATTGTCCCTTGTAGTAAAAACCGGAAGAAAACCGGCGGTTAACCGCGGTTTTACTGGTTCGGTTACCGGCTACCATCGCTACAATTTACCGCGGTTTATCGCTAAAGTGAATCGGTTAACCAGTTCACCGATGATCATGGATATTTAGTTGCTCCAAATCATCGATTTTACTATTTTAAATGTTTTTTTCTTGTACCTTCTCATGTCATAAAAATGCTCGAAAAAACAGCCGGTTCACCACGGTTTTACCGGTCCGGTTACCGGCTCTTGTTATTGCAGTTTTTAGCGGTAAACCACGGTTTACCGCTAAAAACTGTCCAGTATTTACGATATGGAGGGTCCGCTGTACATAACAAAATTATTTTATTCCGCGAGTCTGCAAGCAATGAGCATTCTAAGTATCGTTATTTAACCATTGAAAAAAACAATAAAATCTTTTATAAAAATAGTAGAATAACTTTATCCGTATGCAAAAAATAATAAACCCTTTTCATGTAAGCGTAGAATAATCTACTCTTATACGTACAATCATAAACCCTTTTTATGGAAACGTACAACAATCTACCCTTATATGAAAAATAATAAATCTTTTCCATGTAAACGTAGAATAATCTACCCTTATGAGTAGAATAATAAATCCTTTTCATGTAAGCATGTAATAATCTATCCTTATGCGAAAAATAATAAACCCTTTTTTTATGGAAACGTAGAATAATCTACCTCTATATGAAAAATAATAAACTCTTTCCATGTAAGCACAGAATAAACTACTCCTATAAGTAGAATAATAAACCCTTTTCATGCAATCGTAGGATCATCTACTCTTATAAGTAGAATAATAAACCCTTTCCATGTAATCGTAGAATAATCTATCCTTATACGTAGAATAATCCATCCTTATACGTAGAATAATAAACCCTTTTCATGTAAGCGTAGAATAATCCATCCTTATACCTAGAATAATAAACCCTTGCCCCTAAATTTCAACTTAATAAACCTTTATTTTCATATACCATTGCTTTCATAAACCCTTAGGCTCCTAAACCCTTCAAGGGTTTAGGAACTCGTGCTAAACTCTTTAAGAGTTTATGAAAAATTGCAGATAAGGCAAGGATTTAATATTCTATACTTTTTTTTTACAGTGCACCCACACCCACCCTTATCATCTTCTATATTTACTTCACTCACAAATGCTTTCTATGTTTACTTGTCGAACGCTGATAAGTGCCTCTGAATGAGCACTATTGATAGCAAAAAAATAATCCATTCTCATTCAAGAATTTTCTACACACGTTGATTCATTTTCAAAATGTTCCTTTTTATAGGATATGTGTAGATTAAGCATTTCTGTTCTAGTGCGTCAATGAAGCATTAACAACTTGGAGAAGCAATCAAGACCTACTGGCTTTAGTTCACGAGTCCTTTTTCGTTGTATATATATAGATTATTTTATTCAAAAAATTGAAACATTCACTATGCAGTTACATATACTTTATTTTTTATGGAATATGTGACGATGATTGAATAATCTCCCACTTTTCAATGTGCTATTTCTTTATGTTCTCTCTCCATTAACATAATAGAAATGAATGACTTTATTAGCATATCCTGAACGGAAAAACAAGGATGAGTATGGGTGTAAGCGTGAATGTGTGGGTGGATGTGAGTGAAGGCATGATAACAACTGCATTCACTTCCATGCTTCCATCCCCACACCAATAGCGACAGCCACAGTCACAGTCACAGTCACAGCCATACTTATACTCACACACACCCACATCCAAACCTTTACATCAACTCATACCACACATCCTAAAAAAGAAAGTAAGAAGAAAAAGAAAAAGAAAAAGGATAAAACAAAAATAAGTATTCACCAGCAGCAGTGACAAAGCAAAATCTTACCCATGAAAAAAAATATGGTATAAAAATGCGTTTCAACGCAAACTTTTAGAAAAAAACGCTATTTTTGCGTTTTAACGCATCGTTTTATAAGTTCAACGCGTTTAAACGCATCGAGTTCTTTCCCCAGCGCATTTAAATGCATTCTTTTTATTTTGAACGCATTTTTCCAAATTAAAACGCAACTTAAAAACACAGTTTGAATGCGTTTCGTTTTATGCGTTTGTCTGCTTTGCATTCAAATGCGTTTTTTAGCCTTCTTTGATTGAAAAACGAGTTTTTTTCGAAACGCGTTATAATGTTGTTCTTTTTTATGCGTTTTTTCTAGAAAAAACTGATGTTTTCGAAACGCATTACAATGTTGTTCTTTTTAATGCGTTTTTTCTCCAAAAGATGTATAGTTTAGAAAAGCGTTTGAACGAATATTTGTATGTAAGTGTTTCCAGTAAAGATGTGCTTCTAGAGAATACAAATCTGTTTTAGTTAGAGTAAATGTTAGGTGATATCAATGTGAACATTGAAAAGTTAAAAGGTACTACTCTTCGGCACGATTCTTTGTGATATAATAAGATAAAAAAATAGTCGAATAACATAGAAAACAAAGCATGTATTTAATAAAAAAAAACTAACAATTGAAGATAAGTAGTAATATGTTCTCTAACTAGACTCAGTTAACGTTGGATACCGAATGAAAATAAATTGTTTCGAATTAATAGTAGCATAATTTTTCAATAACATCATCTACATTAGTATGAATATGGTGATTAAAATCAATTGTCCCAAATTCAACATTATCGCAAGAAATTTTTTATGTGTTAAAATTCAATAATATCTCATCTTTTTTGTTATTACGTAAATGATAAAGGCGATTATAAATTTCAGTGTGATTTTTGACTATAGAACGGGATATATGCAGGTTTGTGGAGAAAGACTTTCTCTATCTAGTGGTATATATATTATTAAATTGTGTTGCGTACCATGGTAGAAACTTGAATAGAAAAAATCACGCATCTTACATCTCACATCTTTTTAAGGAATACTCGTATACTATAATCTATATCATATTGAACCAGCACAGAACCTAATCCAATCATTTATATATACCGTTCGACAGCCCACATTATCTACGTTAATAATCTATGTCAATCTTCTCTATAATTGAGTTATAATGTGCTTTATAATAGTTTGAAAAAAATAATTCTATATTGTTTTGATCATGTCACTTGAGAACAACATTTATAGTTTCATATTTAGAATTCGGAAAAATATACTATAACTATACTAACTTGTAGAGATTTGTTTGCTTTACAAAATAATATGAGGAATACCTCTGCTTGACTTTATTTAGTACACTTATTAGCACTTCACTAATGCATAATAATATAAAAATCACGTATATCACATACAATCAGTGTGCTTTAGACTTAATTTTATTGTCAATGCTTGAATAATTCCTATTACAAATCTGACCACCACACAGAAAAAACTCTTCAATAAAGATCCTAACGAGGGCGTATATTCAATCGTCGGGCGTTGTTCAAGCTCATGTTTTGATTATGAGTAGAACTTAGTGAGACTAAGAGAACTATAAAAGAGCTCGGGTTCATGGCATGTTTCTGCCCAGATATCGAGTTTTTAGTGAATTATTCCTACAGCACCCTACCACATGATCAAAAAAATATAGAATTATTTTTTTCAAACTATTATAAAGCACATTATAACTCAATTATAGAGAAGATTGATATAGATTATTAACGTAGATAATGTGAGCTGTCGAACGGTATATAAATGATTGGATTAGGTTCTGTGCTGGTTCAATATGATATAGATTATAGTATACGAGTATTCCTTAAAAAGATGTAAGATGTAAGATGCGTGATTTTTTCTATTCAAGTTTCTACCACGGTACGCAACACAATTTAATAATATATATACCACTAGATAGAGGAAGTCTTTCTCCACAAACCTACATATATCCCGTTCTATAGTCAAATCCTTATAGTCGCCTTTGAATAACTATAGTCCGTTTAGCAACCGTTAAAGAGTTACGTAATCAGTGTTTGAGTCATCTCAGTTTCTTTCTCTTAGTGGCTAAAATTACAATGATAATTCCAATGCGGAGTGCTGAATGTGATATATTTCATCACTTTCGTTCCTTCTATGCAATTTCATAATTTCAGAGTTTCCTTGTTATTGAACAATAGATGTAGTAGACGTAATTTGACAAACATAATAGTATCGTTGAATAAACTTTTTTATTATAAAAATTTTTCTTTTTTCTATTTATAAACTGAAATGTCTTTGCGGATGAGCCTGAATTATTTTTTGGAAAATCAATCTTGTTCGATAGATGGCGGCATAATTATAGCTAATTAGATATATTTTTCGGATATAATTCAGTTTTATTCAATTGCAATTTTCAATTCACATGTAGAAAAGCAGAAAATTTCTGAAAATTTTTTTTTCAATGAAAGTGTTGTGTTACTATTAGTCCATTTGTCTATATAATTCCGTACCAGATTTTGTACCTTTAACTCGAATTAGATTTTTCCACGATAATTTCTTCCGTCTTTTTTTTCTATCTACTAAACTTTTCTTCGTCCGACGTTACTGTATTTTTCGTTATTTTAACTCTAACCACGGAATCTCTTTCGCTTACTATACTCTAATCGTATCCTGTCTTCCTTCATGTTACTCTAATCATATCCTCCTTCCGCGTACTATGTTCTAACAATATTCTTCTTTCGTTTACTATACTCAATAGTATTCTTCTTTCGCTTACTTTACTCTAACCATCCATATCCTTATTTTGTTTATTTTGCTCTATATCCTTCTTTCGTTTATTTTACTCGAGCCATATCTTCCTTTTCGTTTGTCGTAAGTTAACTGTATCTATCCTGTCAAGAAGTGAAAATTACTATGCAGAACTCTAGTTAGAGCTAACTAATTGTAGCAACGTAATGAGAGTTTGAGTTTGTGCGATCCCCTCTAAACCATTCTGAAAGTGTCCTATTTATAGATAATTTTCCAGTAATGATGGATATATTTATCTAATCTATGTACATATACTCCCTAAGAAGTTAGCAAGAATTTTACTTGTGTTTTCTTCTTCTAAAAGACATTTTTTTTACATATATTATCGGTAAAATGTGTAAAAAAATGTCTTTTAAAAGAAGAAAACACAAGTAAAATTCTTGCTAACTTCTTAGGGAGTATATGTACATAGATTAGATAAATATATCCATCATTACTGGAAAATTATCTATAAATAGGATACTTTCAGAATGATTCAGAAGGATCGCTCATATGCGTTCTTTTGTAATAATAAAATGTCATTTAAACGCGTTTCAGAGGAAAAAAAACGCATTCCAATGCATTTTTAGAAACACGTTTTAGTCGGTACATATCGGTTTCTCCCAATAAAAGGATGCGTTTCAATGCGTTTTAAAAACTGCGTTTAAGGTCTAGCGAAAACATGTGGACTAGAAAAAAAACGCGTTGAAACGCATTTTTATACCAAATTTTTTTTCATGGGTATCATCACAAAAAATATTTAAATGTGAAAAAGAGATAGTCGACAAACAGAAAATGCTGAGCTCACAATTTATCTTTTTTTACTTTTATTAACTGAAGCGCTATGTTACATATAATAATAGTCGAATGGAGAAGAACTACTTAAAATGATATCTTGGACAAATACATGGATCTCAAATACGAGTAATCTCGGAACAGTAAACTTTGTTGATAAGGACTGCAAACATTTTGAAAATGGTCTATGATAAATGATTTGTCTCTTCTTAAGGACCGACAACGTGTTGTGCCATTATACAGATCACGTATCATCCTGTCTCTGCTCAATTTTAAGCATTACTTACTACTATTATTGACATTTATATCAGGTATGGTTTTGAGTATCCACCAACTTTTGCGAGTTCTTTAAGCAACATATAAGTTGTTATGAGCAAGAAAAACATTGACTGTGCTCCGAACTATATGGTAAGCACCAAAAAATGTTGAAATTTCCAAAATAAAATTTTTCATTTGAATCGATGTACACACTGCTCAAAATCAGAAAATGTAAATAATATATCTCAGGAATATCCTTCTGGTTGCTTAGCATTTACAGCAGTGTAAAATCAGAAGTATTACTGAGGCGAATTTCGTGTTACAGTGTTGAAGAATATAAAATCTTTGGTCGAGGTATTCAAAGGAAATGATCTGCTGTAATGTAGCCGTCCACGATTCATCAAAACAAACAAGTTTAAGTTGTAAAGTTCGAGCTGTCGAATGACCTTGATCGTATGTATGAAATGAGAAGGAAATAAAAATTGTCATTGTATGCAGGTTTATTCATCATATTTATTTATCCACAAGTTGTTTAAGTGTATTTTCATGCTGAAATAATTCTTTTTTTTTAGAAAAATCATTTTGACCGTTCATTTTTAGATAGTAAAAATCGATTGAGAATGTCTGCTAGTTCAAAAAACAAAAACTGTAAGTTTGAAGAACTGCTGTTGTGCTAACGGAATAATATCCTTTGATATTTCAGTGTCTATTAAAAACGTTTTCTATGATAAATTGTATTAATTAGCAGAAATAAGCGTGTTCTTTTTCATTAGACACGCCATGGTTAAATTGCCAGTTTCATGACCCTGAATGCACATCCATCATAAAACCTCATCAGTTGAAAACGAGTCAGCCAGACCCTGCTTCATTATCGAACATCGATTCTAACATTTTGAATCGTATCCAAGGCTCGATTCTTGGTCTAGCCATTGGTGATGCTCTAGGTGCTCAAGTTGAATATAGACCTCACGCTTATTTAGTGACTAATCCAGTGACGGATATGCGAGGAGGAGGATCGTGGGGCTTACAACGCGGACAGGTAGAGACTCTAAGAATAGAAAATGTAGAGCAGCCTGTGTCTTTAGTTCACCGATGATACGTCCATGGCTCTCTGTTTGGCTACTTCTCTCATCGCTTGTCAAAATTTCGTTCCATATGATCAATTAGTTCGCTATAAATGGTGGTATCGATATGGCTACATGTCATCGACTGGAAACTGCTTCGACATTGAAGACAATACTAAAGATTCCATCCAAGAATTTGAAAGACGTCAAAGAACGTTCGCAAAGCAATACAGTATTCCTTTAGATCAAATAGACTCTATGTCAGATCATGGTCTTCTTCAAAACTTCAATTGCTATTGTAGCTCAGACGGTGCGGCTGACAATGGAGCTCTGATGCGCCTTGCACCTGTACCACTGTTCTTCTATCGACATCCGATTATCGCTGTTGAATATTCTGGTATTAGTGCTCGAATCACTCATGGAGATAGAAAGGCTTATGATGCTTGTCGTTATTATGGAGCTCTCATTATAGCTGCTCTTCATGGTGAAACCAAAGACTCTCTTCTTAATGGTAGTTTTTACAACATGCATAGGGCGTGGTTCGGTAATCAACCACTTCATCCTGACGTCATGTGCATTGCTGAGGGATCGTACAAGAAATCGGGTGGCTATAACAACGGAATTCGAGGGAAAAGATACATTATCAATGCTCTGGAAGCTGCCTTGTGGGCGTTTTGGAGTGATGGAAACTCATATGAGGAAGGTGCACTTTCTGCAGTTAATTTGGGTGATGATACCGACACAACAGCAGCTATTTATGGTCAATTAGCCGGTGCTTACTATGGATATAAGATGTTGCCGAAACGTTGGATGAATTATATCTATGCTATAGATTTCATTCTTTGTGTCAGCAGTTGGATCGCCTACGAAGGGGAGAGATGGTCCAAAAATCAGGCTATTCCAAACTCAAGTCAACTAATAAATGATTTTAATGACATATCGATGAATGTAATGCCGAATACCTCCAAAGTTGAGAAGAAAGACTTACAAATAAACGTTAAGAATCAAACGGATCCAAATATAAGTCATGGAACAAAATCTTCTAATGGTGAGAACAGAAACAGTACAAAACGAATTAAACTCATGAGACATATTAGAAGAGTGATGATTATTATACATCATTTACTGGCTACTTTTAGTTTTCTACAAAAAATTGGATAAAATTCTAGAAGTTAATGTAAAGATTTCGTCGACATAAGAGTCAGACAGCTTCTAGAATATCTTGAAAGTCTTATTCAGAGACGATGTTCTATTGTCAAAATACTAAATTGCCAAATTAACGCAAGTTGCATAAAATATTTGCTGGAAGCAATGAGTTTCTTATTGTAAAATTCATCATTTCAGCGATGGCATCTTCTTCCTATAGGATGTCACTTTTGCCATTCATGGAGATAAACTACTTTAGATTCTTATTGGTCTTACCAAAGTATTCTTGTAAATTCGACATGAAATGAGTGTGTCTAGGTCAGTTTGACTGAGTCTTTTGTCAGTATGACTTCATTTCAGGCAAAATATTGCAACGAAGTTTTGAATCTCTTTGCAATTACTCTAACCGTTATTTCTTATGTCATTGATATTTAAAGATATCTACTGGAGTTCCTAAACAATTAACAAATACGCTCTAAGTCTGATCTGCTCTGACATTCATCTTTAAAAATTTTAACTTAAAACCACTCTTGATAAATGTTTCTTTTTCTAAGAGACGCATTCTTTTCTTTTTCAGTTCAAAGTTCAAGTGCGACTTCTAAGAATGTTGATGAACCAGCTCATACTCATCGATTTTCTGATATTGCTTCTGAACCACGACGAATGCTTTCACCAATTCAGGGTTATGAGAACAAACCTCTAGTTTCACTAGAAGAAGTCATCCGTCCTCTTATTTCACTTGTTCCAGATGTTGAACAAATGGTTTGGATTGCGCTAGAGAACTGTAAAAATCCAAAGGATGGTTTAACTACTGATGAGTCAGCATCTATTATGCTTTATACAATGGAATGGCAACCGTACGAAAAATCTTTCTATGTTATACTCAACGCTGCTCTACGAGCAGCCAATCGTGAATACTTAAAACCATGGTTTTCATATCTTCGACTTATTATTCATGCCCTTCAGAAACTTCCATCAACTCATCATGTTGTCTATCGAGGTGTCAAATCAGATTTTTCTACAGAGTATTCTCGAGGAAGTAAAGTTATTTGGTGGGGTTTCTCCTCATGTACAGTGTCGATTGAAACACTTAATAATGAACGTTTCTTGGGAAAAGAAGGCGCAAGAACTTTTTTTAGTATTGAATGTGAATCAGGTAAAAATATTCGATCACATTCATATTATGCTGAAGAAGACGAAGTTTTGTTACTTCCGGCTCGTTATTTTGAAGTCATTGGTTGTCTGAATCAAGACAATGGTCTTCATATTATTCAACTGAGAGAAACACAACCGAAATTCCCACTTATTAAATTCAATACATCATAAAAAGCAACGTTTTATATGAATTTCTAACTATTTTTTGTTCCTTTATATTTCAATATTTAATCATTGTTCGTATCAATTGCTGGACAGAAATTATTAAAGGTTGAGAGTAAATTGGAAATTACTCTAAACAAGAAAATATTACAATCACTGTCTACTACACGACTTGTTTCCTTATATTTTCACGATCTATATGCATTTCGAGGTTTTATTAAACGAGTTTTATATAAAATTATAGTGAAGGTAACTCTGGTAAGTGAATTTCATCAGGTTTCAAATCTTCTTTCCTTTTCAATTCGAACTTGGCAAGATGTTTTTCCAACTATATAAAATGGCTATAGATAAAAAGGCGAACAATACTATGTTTCTTCTTTATAGTACGATGAAAGGTGATTCTGAAGTTTAGCTGGTTGATATTTAAAAAACTATCAACTACTCTTATTTAAGAAAATTTCTTCTACTACGCTAATCTAAGAACAATGTATCGTGTAAGTCGAAGTTATCTAAAAAATTCTATTGTTTGATCTGAATAGCACCATAGTGTGCACTTATAGAAGTACAGAAAAACTCAAAGATAAATCAGACTTTAATACAATCATTTGAGTTGAATGTTGCGTGAATTAAGTAATACGAAGAAGAAACCTTTATTTAAAGAATAAGCTAAGTAATAAAACATTACGTGAATTAAGATTGAGTTACACGATGAAGGGAGTGGATGTGAATGAAGGTGAAGAAGTAATACTACTCACATTCACACCCAAAAAGTTTGTTTGATAAAACTTCGATAGACGCTATAATTGATTGCCTGTAGTATTCGATGGTTACGTCTTACACGTTGCTTAAAACTTTGATACAAGAATATGTAGTGTATGCAGAAATGTGGAGTCTACCTGCGTCTAGATACAACCGTCTGAGGAAATGTTTTATTTTTGCCAGAATTTCCGTCATTAATAGTGGAAAAAATGTTTTTATTTTAACTTTAGATTCTGTATCTCAGATCGTATCTGTCATTCCATTTCGTTCTTCCCAAGGGGGAAACAGCGGACTTCAAGTATATAAAGTACGTCAAAGTACGAAAGTACTTGAAAGCACCTCAAAGTACGTAAAAAGTACTTAAAAGTACCTATAAAGTACTTGAAAGTACCTGTAAAGTACCTATAAAGTACGGCAAAGTACCTGTAAAGTACTTGAAATTATATTAAAATACCTCGAAAGCACTTTGAATTACAAGAAAATATGTTAGGGCGTTTCTCAAATCTCTAAAATGCATGGAACAAGATCACATCATGTTTGGCAAGATATGACAATGGCTTTTCTCACTTGTCGAAATCAATGAATTACTAATGAAACTAATAAAGAAACAACAATTTATTAAAAATAATGGTTTGTTTGTTGTTCGATACGAGATAAACGATCAATTGATAACCTCGTTATGTTGTTTGATAGAAGCCAACAGGCTGATTGGTTGTGGAGGTACTTCACATTTCTATTTGTTTTGATCTCAAAAGTACCCTAGTCGACTCTTCCCAACAAAACCCTTGGCGAGTCCCCACAAAAACTTCACCGGGGAGTCACGACAGAGATTCACCAGGGATTTGTAAGGGAGTTAGGGGAGACCCCAGGGATTTTCAAGAGAGTTCGGGGAATCACCACGGATTTACAAGGGAGTTCAGAGAGAGTCACCAGAGATTTGCAAGGAAGTTTAGAGAGAGTCAGCAGGGATTTGCAAGGGAGTGGCTTCGCAATAAAAAATGCAGTGCATCAAACTTATCAGTGATATTATCACCGACAGATTTATCTACCTATCTACCTATCAATCTCTTGCTACATAACTACACTGGAAAAAAATAGTTTTATGACGAAACCTATCCGAGCGTTTCGATCGTCTAAGGTTTCGTATCAATTTACGAAACCCTAAAAAAGTTCAGTAAATCGTTTTCTGATCTTTTTTAGGTTCGGTCAATCAATACGGAACATTAAAGGATCTGATCGCGGGCACAGGTTTTGTAAGAACCCATTGTTTTACAGTGTATCTAGCTATCCATCTACCTATCGAGGGGTACGCAAATACAAGTACAACTTGTACTACCTTCTTTCTCCTAGAATTATAGAATTCATGTCCTTTATGTACTATGTGCTATGTATTATGTACTATGTATAATACAAGGACCCATATATATCCTCTAAACAGCAGTGTCACATATCCCGAATTTTCGAGATCCCCTGCAGAGATTGCGCATCCCCAGCGGGAAACGCGGGTGTGGGTGGGTGGGTGTGGGTGTGGATGCCGGTGTGTGGGTGTAAATATTAGTAGCTATTAATCCACACTCATATCCCCACCCACACCCATACCCACATCCACACCCACACCCACATCCACACCCACACCCACACCCTATTCTACAAGTATGGTATGATTGACATAGGTAAAACTCTAATTTATGAGTAGAAAAGATCCATTATATTTCACGTTTTTATTTCACAGTAGTTAAACTGAAAAGTTTTATTAGAGTTTCGAATTTCACCGAAGTTTTGGAACAATATTCCACTGTTGATTCAAACCTGCGTGGTTTGGCCATGCAACAACAGGTGCACCAGATACAGTTTGAGACTTTTCGATATCGATAACTTTATTTGCACCTGGACATAATATATATAGGCCATCCAATTGCCATTGTTGAGTTGTTCCCATATTTTTTGGCCATACAATTAGATTACTTTCCTGAATACCACTGTCGATATCGATCACCATTTCAGTAGCCATATTTCGAATGGTTCCATCTTGATCGAAAAACCATAGTTGACTAGATGGATCTTCACTAGTTCTATTTTTCATAGGATATACTACAACAGGTGTACCTGGTCCAGCACTACTACTATTATAAATATCAAGTACATAACTGTTCATTCTGGATTGAATATAATAACCTAGAATACAATTTTCTATTATCATTGAAAGAAAATAAGCAAACTTATGTATATTGTATATTTATAATATATTGTTAAACACAATGAAAAATGACTATTAAAGCATATATAACAAGAAAAGTGATCCTACTCTATCATAAACCTCTCACTGTTCCATCAGACCCGTGACAAATAGATAGCATGAGTAAAACTCTCTGTCTTTTATAAATCGCGGTGAAAATATCGCTCAAATTATCAAGTATTACAGAATGTGATAGACACTTATAATTTTTTCAGTCTAGTATCAGAAAAACTATGATATAATTATATATAGATGTTGGAAAAGCTGTAGCTAGATTATGATAGATGCACATCAGAAAACATTTTGTAGCTTGAATTGCGCGACTTGAATTTTATTTGTTTTATGAAATGCAACTCCTAATAAATGTTAAAGAGAATATAGCAAAAAAAAATGAATGCCTATTTTCCACCTTGGTCTACAGATCGTCACACATACTATATTTATATGAGGATGAAGGCGCATGTTTGGGTGAGAAGTTGATCGGATAGATGTGCAAATCAGGATGTCTACGTAGTCTGAAGCGTGAGTCCAGGATTAGCATCTATTAGGATCTTGCTCAGAAGTGCTTACAAATCTTACAAGACAATATCAATTCTAATCAAAATCTTGATAAGAAAGTATAATGATTTAGTTAGAACCTTTGATGACTATTGTTTACTGTAAACAATCTAAATAGTTAAGATGTTTGAAGATTAATGTTTTAAAGCCTATTGAGAATTCGATTTTTTAAGGATTCAATCAAGATTTAGAAATGATTCTATTGAGTATCCTTGCAAAAATGAATTTAAAATTTTTTTTGCGCTAATTTGTGTTTATACAAAACTCAAGTAGAAATTTCTATTTAAGTCAAAATTTGAGATACTGAACATGAAAGTTTTACACAATAATATGCTACATTCTAGTTGGTTTTAGAAAATCTGATAGGATATAAACAGAAACTTCTATTTCAATTCAGAATCATTGGAGTTCTGGCAAGATCCTAATCTAAAAACAATGTAAACTTGCTTACTGTCCTTCAAAGACTCTTTTCCGTACCCTGCCAAAATCTAGATCATTTTGGTAGTTACACATTTATTTCATGATTTATGATTTTCTGAATTAATTCCTGATTTTAAATCTAGCGATACGCTGATCAAGATCTTAATTGAATCTTGCTTTAAACTCTGAGAAGATCTTAAAATTTCATGAGTACATTCTTTCTTCAAAATTTAGTCGTTTCCTCTGGAAGAAAAGGATGAATTATTGAAGGACACAAAACGGAAACATTAAGGATTTCCGCTGTGACATGAAACTTCTAAGTGGACGGGTAATCTTCTATTAGACATATGATTTTTCTTTTGTCATTTCGAGAATCTCAAAAGTATGAACCTTGAAAAATATAAAACTCATTAATTTTTCATTGATGCTGGAATTGAGAAGACGAAATTCTTAATCTTAAACATGTTTCAATTTAGTAATTATCGATTCGATTTTTAACTAGAAAGCTATTTCTTTCTACTAACCAAAAGGCACACGTGTTCCGTCAATAATGGTCATAAGTACAGTTCCAATGTTTGCTAATATGGCATCATCATTGTCAGGCGCTTCAGCAAATAATTCACATAGGTTAGTTGATTGATGAAAATTAATGGTACGACATCGTTCTTGAGTTAAGCAAGCAGTCTGACAATATAGCAATCTAGACACCAAAATTCTGGCTAATGGATAACAATTTATATCAGGACAACGAAATTCCATATCGATCATTGATGACATCATCATCGAACGTACAATTGCTGAAGATGAATGTGTGAAAGCAATGAGAAGAAAAAGTAGAACAAATTTTCTCCACACCATAGAACATGAAGTCTGAAGTCGTTGAAATAATTGCAACTGTTTCTGATGGTAACAATAAGTTCATTATTTTATGAGAAAAAAATGTGGAAGAAAAAAAATACGTTAGATATTCAATTTACAGCACCTTGGTCTCGCCGACACTCGGTCGATAGACGGCACTTTTGTCACTCTTTCTTTT